CTGGCGGCGGGCTTTACGGCAACCGCTCACCTTTCGAGCCCCCGACCCCACCCCGCCCGCCTTAAAGGCGCAGGCACCCCGCGCGGCCCCGCCCCTCCCCGCCGCGGAATGCGGGCTCTGATTGGCTGTCCGTCTGCACGCCCGCCTTTGGAGCTCGGGGAGCATTGCCGGCCCGGAGAGGAGCCCCCGCCATGGCAACACTTCTCACTTAAGCAACCTTTTCAGATACGCTGGGCATATCTACGTGTTTATTAATGCACTGAGATGCACAGATGGTAACGAGGCGAGAAGGGACCTAGCAGGACCAGCGGGTCTAGACAGGAAGGACACCTGGGGTTTACAGCACACTTAAGTTTAGTACCTGTACTAGGTACTAACGTAATGCACTGTAATGAGCGCTATGGCCCATTAGTGCAGATGCACCTTTTTTTGTGATGTTTAACATGCATTAGACTAAATCTACTATACATTAGCATGCTTTTTGCAGGACGCGCAAATACACAGAATTAGGCTATTGTGGATTTAGCAGCTCCTGTAGCCGTGCCTGCTGTTAAAGAGGTTTAAAAGATCTTTTTCCTTCTTGCTTACCTCTTGTCCCATTTTCTACCTCCAACCACTTTCTTCCTTCCAATTGCCTAGAACTAGTTAGCTCCCCCTTCACACCCATAATCTTTGGTTAGTCTTACCTGACAGATGACCTTCTTGTTTAGGTAGGTTGAGGATGTATCTTGTCCTGCCCCACCTAAAAATAAGAGTGATGCAGGCAATGAAGTCCCATTCATGATATGCCTAGCAGGCTGGCATTCAGTACGATTTCAAATGACTTTGGTCTGATCAGACTTTTTCCACTTCTCTTGCTAGAAGTCAGCTGCAAAAGCTGTCTCTGGCGTTGTTTGGCTAACACGTGGACTTCTTTCTTACCTCTTGTATTCTGTTTGTCCTCTTAAGATTCCCTACCAAGGAAACACCAGGTGCTCTTGCTAAATGTTTTGCTAACATTTCTGTAGATTATGTGGACCATCACCAAAGCAGTCTGATTATTACTAGTTCTTACTTGCATTAGACTCGGAAAGAATAATCTTTTAAAAAAAAAAGTTTACCTATCCTGCTACAACTATTAACTTAATTCTACCTCTCCTCCCTCCAACTAGTGGAAATAACTCAAAAAAGGAAGAAAAATATTTTGGAACATTGTAGGTACAGCCAGAAGCTAAAAAGACTCTTTTTCACTTATCTGACTTCGGTAACTATAAGAGCTACCTGTAGAGCTTTGTGGACAGCTACGATGAACTCCAGAAGCAAAAATTCTCAGAGCAGACAGAAACAAGCGTGTTCAGTCTAATATCCAACTGGTGTTTGGAGGTATGGCCAAAGGGTTTTTTTGACCTCACTGGAGTCCGTGATGGTAATAGCTCTAGAAACAAAAATGCGGTGCTAACTGCCATTATTGATGGAATGAAATATCAAATCAGTGGGCCACACTGAGAACGTTTCATTTCATCCCGTATAAGTTGGTCTTGGACAGCCATCAGTAGCTGCTTAAAATACTGTAGAAGCAATGCAAAAAGAATATTCTAAAACTTAGTCCCCCTAGTGGTTACCATTAGAGGTGCACCAATACATCAGTCCAATATCGGATCCATACCGATACCAAGAAAATTTGTTGCATCGGATATCGGGCTGATGGGGCCAATAATTTGGCTGATAAATGCCCATGCTCTGCGCAGCTGCAGTGCAGCACAGAGCAGGGCCAGCAGCATGGAGAGCTGCCTCCAGCTAGTAAGCCAGAAGGGGAGAGGGAAGAGAAGGGGTGTGGGAGGGCAAGATCAATGCCCCCTGTGGTGAGGGAAGGGGCAGGGGCTGGCACAGCCCAGGTGGGGGAGGGGAGGGGTGTGGGACAGAGGTGCAAGTCATGGGGTGGGGGCAGCTCCTGCTGCTGCTTGCACCCCAGGAGGGTGGGAGGGGTGCCCCCAGATCTGCATGGCATGGCATGGCATGGCACGGCACAGGCTGGAGCCAGCATTCTGCGGGGCTTTTCTTGCTGGGGACTGGGCTCGGAGCGGGCTCCAGCAGCACTAGGAGGAGACTGCAACCACCCCAAATTTTGCCACAGCTTTGGTCCCAGTCCCACATCACCGTGCCACAGCCCCAGATTTTCCTGGAGCATGGGTGGAGGCGAGGCGTTCAGCCGGGGCTGTGGGGGGAAGCGGTACTGGGCTGGGAGGAGCTGCAGCAAAATTTGGGGTGGCTGCAGCCTCCTCCCAGCACTGCCAGAGCCCACTCCGAGCCCAGGCCCCAACATGAAAAGCCCTGCTCAGTGCTAGCTCCAGCTCCACCCCACAGCTGCAGCCCATACCGTGCCACGCAGATCCAGGGCTCCCCCCCATGCAA